TTTTGGAGTTGGTTTGGAATCCCCTGGTAGATGCACACTTGGAGTAAATCATGGTCCAGTCCTTGCTTGAAATAATGGATCAGTGATCAGTCTAGCCACTGCCCTAAGCAGCCAGCAACCCTCCAGAATTCTCGAACATATTCTTTCACCAGGTGACCATTTTGCCTTAAATGGTGGATCTCTTTTTCTGCCTTCAGGGCTTGGGATTCATCCTCAAATCTTACTCTCAATTGCTCCATGAATAGGTTTGCATCCAGTAACTCTAAAAGCTCCCTCGTCATGCAGGTTGATCACCAACCCAGCTGCTTCCCCCTCCATGTTGGCTGTCACTGCATTCACCATCATGGCCTCATCAGGGTGGGCATAAACATAGTGATCAAAGTGGGCCCACACATTAGGTTTAGGAAGAATGGCAAGTTCTTGGGATCTCCATCAAATATGGGCTTGATAGGAGGTGGCTCGAGGTGTTGCAGTGCCAGGTACACTGGCTGCTGGGCAGCTTGTCGATCCTGGGGCCATGGCCGTACTACTCTCTGGAACCCTCTCTGCTGGGCTCTCGGGCTTGTGACCCAATGCTGCTGCAATGGGCTTGGCTGTGATTGAAGGCTTGAGATAGTTGCTGATAGGGGAGTAGGTGACATGGCATGGGCCCCAACTACAGGACTGGGACTCCAGCATGGAGGTGGAAGCAATGGATAGGGGTTTGCCTTAATCCCACTGAACACTTGCCCTGGACTGCAGGAACCCCTCTCTGTCTTCCAACTAATCAAACTTCTCCTTCAGTTGCTTGACTGAGGGACTGTGAACTGCCATCTTGTTGAGTCATCCCAGCTAGTCGCCCCCTTCCCCTTCTTTTGTGCTATGGCCAAAGGACCTTGGTGTGGAATTAACAGAAGCTCCTCTTTAGCAGTCGTGGGGGTACTTCTGTGCTGCAGGGCTGCCTCTGCCTGATATAGGTCTACAAGGATCGTGGTTCCCTCCTGCAACACCAACTTTCCAGTTTGAATTATCCAACTCTTCGGATAAGCCCCTGTCAATAGCACTTCTTCAGCACTGTGGCCAGTGGTGGATTCATCTTTCTTCTCCATAACAAAATCTTCACTGAGTCTTCGCTGTCCTCCCAAAGGTAGTGGGCAGGCAGCTGGGGCTCAGCACCCCAGGGAAATTAACATTTTGTGAGAGAGTTGGTTTAATGTCATGGTTCCGATAGATGAAACTAAACAAATCAGAACTCCAAGGCTAGAAGTTTCCTCAAAGAACATGTTTATTGGCTACATAGTATCAGCATGGTCAAAAGTGAACCAAGTCTGAAATTCCCTCCCAAACGACATACTATTACAAAATTAAACTTTCCACCCCAGTGCTATGCAATTGATTACATTCCCCAATAGAATAGTTTGAAGGGCTTTCTAACCAAAGACTCACCCCCGCCCATCTAACTGACAGAAATGACCTTGGTTGCCATGGGATAGTAAAATGTATAGCCTAGTAGAAATCCTCCACACACCCTCTCATTCTTTTGGCAACCTAGAATGAGCAAAATGGCTGCAGCCAGGTTCGTTGTAGAGTTGACAGTATCACCATTGCATATGGTGGAGGATTTCTGATTGGCAGAAGATGTTAGCAGGTGCTCAATCAGAGCACCACTATCTGGCACTGAGTCAGAGCCAACTCAGGAGAGGCAAACTAGGGTTCGGTAGTGGGGACAGCCAATTTGATGATTCAAATTCTATTTGCACTTCTATTCATCCTTTGGGAAAGGTCTCAGAAAGAAATGTGGTTATTGTGTAAAAATATCTGTGGCCTCTCTATTCACTTTTTATAGCACGTGTATATTTTACAACTAGATTTCTTAGTTCAGAAAATATCAACCACTTTGAAACTGGTGCAGATTCTGAAGAAGTTTGCCAAATTGCTTAGCTTTGGGTCCATTTCAGACAATCTTTTCCATTTATATTGCTGTCTCTATTTTATTTTGAACATCCAATGATGCTCATATTTAAACATTTTTACATTTGGAAATAAGACTGCCAAAGGAAACATGGGAATAGTGGAATGGCTTGTCTCCTGAAGTTGTGGATGCTCCATCACTAGAGGTTTTCAAGAAGAGATTGGACAACCATTTGTCCAGAATGATAATAGGTCTCCTGCATATTGGGGGGGGGGTTGGACTAAAAGATCTCTAAGGTCCCTTCCAATCCTATTCTATGTTCTATGTTCTATCTCTTTGTCACTTGCTTTTACACTGGGAAATGCATCAAATACATATGTCCTGTAGAAAAGTCCTTTCTGTTTCATGGGCCTTGGGAACCGACTGTATGAATTCTGTTTTAGGTTGCTACAGAGTTTCTTTAGTATCTTTTTGATTTATATCCTGCCTTTTTAACAGAATTTCAAGGCATCATGCATCATACTTCTTTCTCCTGCTTTTCTTACAACCCCCATGTGAGTTAGGTTGGGAAACGAGGAGGAATGACTGGTCTTTCAATGTCTTCCAATACATCACACCAGCTCTCCATCTTGCTGTTTATTCTCAGACTTTTGATGCTCTTTGGATCCTTGAATGCTCACCATTATTTTATTTTAGTAGAGCAAAATAGTTCTGAACTATGCAAAAATGCAGATTTATATATGAGATACATTCTGCGTTTTGCTCATTTCCATTGAGCAGAATTTGCAACTTGCAATCATGGTTCCCTCTTCTGTCTTCAGCAAGTGGAGAAAGTTTAACTGAAGTTTTCACTTTAGAGGAAAGGAAGTGAATATTCAGATGTGGCTAAAATGTGGCCAACTATATCTGAAAGCGGTCAATTCAAAATGTAATTTCTGAGCAAGGTGATGAGTGGAAAACAAACAGCTATTTATATCTTTCGACCAGATTGCACTACTTCCTGTTGATTAAAAGAGTCTATGTGCACTCCCCCTCCCAGTGCTTGTCTTAAATTTAGTTATATTTGGAGTTGATTTTTCTTAGTTTTTCCTTAACTAATTCTAGAGTGAGAAGTGATGGTTCAAGGAGAATTAAGGAGGTGCCCCAGAAAAGCAAATGCAGCCAAACTGGTAGGAAGAATGAGAAGTGGACTGATTCTCTTTTTTAATGGCAGACAATAACTTTCATAGACTTTCTAATGTAACAAGATGTTTGTTTTTTCAAAGTTCCCCGTTCACTGAAATCAGGGGAGGGATTCACCGATGCTGCCTCAATACTGAAGTAATGAAAGGGCTTCTCTTAAGAATCAAGCAGACTATTTTGCACTTAGCACTTATTGATGATAATTGATATTTTTATTTTTTAAAAAAATTCTACATTTCTCTTTTGCATATCAGATCTTTTAATTTGCTAAATGGCATAGCAATCTCACTTCCAAAAAAATGTATGACATTGCAGATTGCTTTGCTTGACATGGAAGTGCCCAGATCAGTTGCAGCCAGAAAAAAAATACTGTTATAAATATTTCTGAGGAACATCATATTCAAAGATTCAATGCCCAAGAGAATCAAGCAGTTTTGGTGGAAGGAATTTTCTTTGCAACAAACATCACATTTACACATTCACAGTATATGTGCAACTTTGGATTGACAAAATAAATGTCTTCTTCCAAGGAGACCATAAAAGAAGTTTTTGTATCAGATTTGTATCACCATTTTAACTCCCTCTTGATGCAATTAAGGATAGCACTGTACCTTGGAAGCTGAGATCTAAAGCAAAAAGTCTGTGGTATGAAATATCTACCAATGGGAGAAAGTAAAGTGACCTACAGCAAGTCTAGTACTTTCCCTCATTTCTAATGTTACATTAAGATAAATTGTAATTACAAATAAATTTAAGAATATCTGAAATGTTTAAAATTATTACTCTATCATTTTTTCCTATAGACTTTTTAAGAAAGGAAATCATAATAATCCTTACCAGTGACATTACAATTTTGATATGGCCAGGCCAGACTAGCAAAAGTATACTCCTAACATAAGGCAAAACTTAGAAAGATTTGTGATCATCACCAAGCACTAATATATTTAATGCCTTATTTTAACTCCTCTGGTCAATGGATCTACTAAGTTCAATCATTTGAGTAGATACCAAACAGGAATCTGGGAACTGGGAGATGATGTGAAGAAAAAAAAATTTTTTTCTATTCAAAGAGACAATATCATTTATTAACAATATCAAAACCATCAACTACAACTTGTGTTATTCAAAAATTAAATTCCAATTACATGAAGAAAATGCATAAATTAATAAACTAATACAAGGGCATAAACTAATAAAAACTAATTAAAAAGTAATAAATTGGCAGCATAGTCAGCACAAAGGAGAGAAAGGTTAATTTTTCTCTTCCAGATTCCATCGCATACAAAATGCAGCCTCTGAAACTTCTTTTTTTGTAGTTCCTATGGCATCACTATCTACATTTGCTGAGACTGCAAGCACTTGAAAAATGTACTCTAAGCCCTAAAACAAAGAAAAAAACTTTCCTCAAGAAAAAGCCCCAGAAAAGTTTGGTCTTTCCAAAAGCCCCATTAGTGGTGTGAGAAAATTGAAATCGGTTCATGACTGGAATTTATTTCTGTATTATCACCATCTCTCCAGGTGTGATTTGATTATGTGCCATCCTGAACCAGAAAAACAGCATTATAAAGTTGTCATCTTAGATACCAAATTTTTATTCTAACACTATTTTCCTATAAGCGTTGCAAATATTCAATTAATGATAAGCTCTAATAGAATAATAGTTATAAAAATAAGTAGAAGGATAAATTGGAAATAAAACTTAGGCATCTCAGTCCTCTTGCTATAAATATTAGCTATATTTGTTGTTGTCTGTGGTATTTATATGAATTCATGTATATATATTGGGGGTGGGGGGATTGATCACATTCAAAGCTAAAGAGCCAATCAACATCAAATATCTTTTCAATATGGGAGCACACACCTCCAGTGAACTGTGTAACTCCACCTCAGAAAGACTAACTTCTAACGGGGTTCAGAGCTACGCGAAGGCACCCATCTCTTGATACTTCTCATTTCTAGTCAAAGGAATCCTCAGGCAAAGAACTGGTGGTGCTTGGTGACTCAAAGAGATTCCCCACAACAACCCTGTACAGTCATGGACAGGTAAATCCTCTCCTTCTGCCCCTGGGCAAATTGTTAAAACCACCAATTCATGTTATGAATTTATTGTTTCTCCTCTTCTGACTCAGCTTTCCAGATGGCTCCCTCCCATCATTAATCAATTCTCTGAGGCCACCAGTTTGGGGTTGGGTTTTTTTTTGACAATTCTTTTCTCTCATTATTATTTTTGTCTTTTATCTGTTAAGGTTTCTCTATTCTTTCTTGTACATAGTCTTTATACTTTGTTTTTAATGCAATTTGTTCCATAAAGTTATAAAAATAAGGTAGACCGCTAATGATTGTTATTTCCCTCAACTCAATGCCTTTTTAAAGAAGTTAAAAAAAAAAAAGCCACCAGCCATCCTAGGACCTTAGTATAAGCAAGGAGGGATTCAAGTAGGAAAAGGGAAAAAGGAGAGAGACATACTTAAACTTTGGTTCCTTTCCTACTAAGAGCAATTTAGTTGACAGATGAATTCTTTGTAATTCAGATCTTCCTAAATCAGGAATAGTTTCTAAAGTAAAGACGAGTGGGCCTAAGTATAGATTTTCTGTACCTGTTCACCTGTTGTTTTCCTGTGTGTATATTTCTTCTGGGTAACTTTATTTAAATACAACATTTCTGAATCTGAGTTATTCATAAATATCTATCTGTCTACATCCTTCTGTCCCAATATTTCATGCAAAATGGGACTGCAGCATAAGTTATTTAAATGTTTATAATTTAAAATATTTTAGTCAGATAAATAGATTTTAACATTAATAATGCTCCTTTCACCTGACTGATTTTCAACAACTGGTGTACAGTATTGCTTGCTAGATTCCTTTTATGATATATTTAGCCTTAAATGTGAGCTCTATAATTAGTAAGTTCAAAAAAACCCCCATGATTCATGAAACATTTCAACCCTTACGTGGATGTTTGCATTATCTCTGAGAAGAGGAGCTTTCATTAAGTGTCCCTTGGCTGCCTGATTTCTTTATATTGAATGTAATAGTAGGTAAGAGAAATAGATCCCCTATGATGTCTGCAACAAGCACAAAAACAGATCTCATTTTGTAATTGAAAACTTGTGCTATTATTCAAATCCCCCCTCCCAGCAATCTGTCTCATCCTGTGCCCTCTATAAAATTATTCTTTCAGGAAAGAGTGAAAATTCTGGTAGATCTAGGTCAGTGGTTATTAACCTTTTTGAATGAATCGCCCTCTTGAGCCAATGAGGAATTTGTCATCGCCCCCCTCCCCCAACATAACCTTTCAATTACAACATAGGAAATAATTCTTCAATTTATGCAAACACTTTTTTTGTTTTCTTTAAAATTGTCATCAGGACATATGATGCAAATAATTTATTTCCAGTCTTTTTCCCATATCTCAACTGTGTGAAAAATTTTGGTGCCACCCGTCACTTTATTCCCAAATTTCATGATACATGTATTTCATTATTATCTTATTTATTCAAGACACTTAAATGTAATGACCACTGAAAACAAAATTCAATTGTAAGAAAGTGAAATGCCCGAAAAGAAAAACAGTAACATTTAATGATTGAATTACAAGTGAAATTTAAGATGCAAAAAGAAATATAAAAAGGGCATAAGAACAAACCGCAATGCAAGAACTAAGAATTTCAAGACGAAAACTCTGAAACTAAATTAAGATTTGAGGAAAGTATATATAGTCACGCACACTGTAAAAAGGATTAAAAAGACACAAAGAAAATATAATATCAAACTGGAGTGCATGCTAAAAAAGTACAATACAAAGAGACACACAAAACAGCATACAATGTTTTGAAAGAAGTGCTCCCCCCCTCCATCACTGCCCATTCTGGCCAATGGCACGCCACTGTATCGGTAGAGCAGGGGTAAGCAACCCAAAACACTCAAAGAGCCACTTGGACCCATTTCCCACCGAAAACAAAACACTGGGAGCCGCAAAACCCTTTTGACATCTAAAATGAAGATAACACTGCATATATCCTTTTTTTACCTTTATTATATATATCTTCAGTGTTATCTTCATTTTAGATGTCAAAAGAGTCTCTCTCTCTCTCTCTCTCTCTCTCTCTCTCTCTCTCTCTCTCTCTCTCTCCCTCTCCCTCCCTCCCTCTCTCTCTCTCTCTCTCTCTCTCTCTCTCTCTCTCTCTCTCTCTCTCTCTCTCTCTCTCTCTCTCTCTCCCAGGTTAAGAACCACTGATCTAGGTATTCACCAAGGAATTATACAAGTTGGAAGATGCCAGTTAGGCCACTGGATCCAGTTGACTCCCTGCTCAATGCAGGAATTCAAATTGAAGCAATCCTGACATTTGGCTGTCAAGGTTCTACTTAAACTGAGGAAACTTAAGGTTCTTGTCAAGGTTCCATTTAAACCCAGTGGGGAACAAACCACTTCTTTGGGTTCCACTTTGAAACTGTTATTTGTATCAAGAAGTGGAGGCTCTGTTTTTGTTTTTTTCCAGTATTCATTGGAAAACTGCTTTCTTGTAATTTATTAATAATCTGAACAAATTCCTCATAATTAATATTTCCCAATTAAAACTGGGCACAAATAGCCTTTTGAAATTCTCTACAATACTATATTTGAGGATACATGATTTCTCTATATTCTCTATTTAGCTATAGGGCTCATAACCCACTGGAACTACATAGTTACAGTTTGCAAAACTGATGTGTTGTGATTTGTACTGAGTTTCAGCTGAGGCAGAAATCTGTGGCACAATATTGTAGGATCACAATGGTATAATGCCAATTTGGAAAAAGTAATAAATCCTCACATAAAAGCATCCACTGTTCTCTCACAGCCAGTAGGTACAATATGTTTTAATTTACAATGCATCAATTACAACCCCCAAAATAGAAGGGCATTATAATAACTGCTCCTAATGGAGGAAATAGCTCTATATATGTCCATGGCCTTCTAATCTGAAAACATAATTTCAAAGTGGCAATAATGATGATGTTATCCATTGAGTCATGTCCAACTCTTGGCAATTCTATGGGTCAGGTGTTTCCACATCTTCCAATCTTGCACTATTTCTTTGAGTTGTTTTGGCTGGTGCCAGCTTTGATGGTGTCCAGCCACCTTGTTTTTTGGTGGCTTGTTTTCTTTGTACTGCTAACTCTTTCAAACACAATTGCTTTCTCCAGTGAATTCCCTTTGCTTTATAATATAATGCTTGTATAACGTAGTCACAATTATTTCTATATTTATGTATTAGACCACATAGAATCATAGAATAATAGGGCTGGAAGGGACCTTTGAGGTCTTCTCTTCCAACCCCATTTCCAAGGCAGTAGTCTTTATACCATCCTGAACAAATGGATGTCTACTCTTTTCTTGAAAACCACCAGTGATGGAGCAACCATCAGTCCAGGAGGCAAGGCATTTCATTGATTGTTCTCACTGTCAGGAAATTTCTCCTTAGGTCCAGGTTGGCTCTCTTGTCCTGCTTCTTGTCCTGCTCTCGGTATTTTGGAATCAACCTGCTCATCTCTAACTATCTGTCAAGTATTAGAAGATAGCTATTGTGTCACCACTAATCCTTTTCTTTGTTAGGCTAGACATACTTAGTTCCATTAACCACTCAGTATATGATTTAATCTCCAGACCCCTTGTCATCTTTATTGTTCTTCTCTGAATTATTTCAAGGTTCTCAGCCTATTTTTTTTGTCTGTGGTGACCAGAACTAGATGCAGTATTCCAGTGTTGCCTCACTAGTGCAGTATAAAACAGTACTACCATTTCTCATGATCTTGATACTATCCCTCTGTTGATACAGTGTAGAACTAACTTGACTTTTTTGGCAGCTGCAGCACACTGCCAGCTCATACCTAAGTGGTGGTCTGCTAGGACACCTAGATCCCTCTCATAGTTACTAATGTTAAATCAGGTACTACCTATTCTATATCTCTGTGTTTGGTTTTTCCTGCCTAAGTGCAGAACCTTACTTTTCTCACTACTGAACTGTATCTTATTAGATAAGGCCCATTGCTCTAGTCTGTCAAGAGCCTTCTGGATCTTGAATCTATCTTCTAAAGTGTTAGCAATTCCCCCAACTTGTTATCTGCAAATTTGATGAGATCTCCTTCTGTCCCCTCATCTAGATCATTTTTGAAGATATTGAAGAGCACTGGGCCAAAACAGAACCTTGTGGTACCCCACTGCATGCATCCTTCCATGTATATGTACAGTAGCTCCATTGAGGGCTATACACTGAGTGCAGTTAGTCAGCCAATTGCAAATTCAGGTGGTGATTGTACTGTCTATCTGACATTCAGCTCAGTCATATTTTAATTTTATTATTGCTATAAAAGTTCTGATGGTTGAGCACATTCATAAGTCCCTTGGACTGTGTTCTGGATAGTGGGCAAGCTATAAATATTTTGATTGAATGAATGCTAAGACTTGTGTTTTATCATTGTTTTGATCATTCTTGCAAGATTTCTATTATGAAGACAAAATAGGGTTCTCACTACTGCTGAGAGTTCATCAGAAAAAAGATGATGCTGAGTTAGAATTATTTTTAACCCATTCACTCCTGTTTTGCATTGCCTTTGAGGGTGGCAAATGTCTCACTTTATTGAGCACAGTTGTTCACAGCCCTGCCCTTCTCTTCACAGTCCTGATTTGGAAAGTCATCATGTAGTAAGAATGTTGAATTATAGAATGAGTTAATACAAACTGTAAGGATTTATCATTTGCTTGGAGAAAATCAGAGATTCTTCCCAACACAATATTTATATTCACTTGTCCTTTAGAGTCTGTTTCAATTTTCCTCCAGTTTGGGAGAGCAAGTTCAGTAAATCCACCTATGTCCACAGGGCGAGTGTTTGTGTGTGTGTGTGTGTGTGTGTGTGTGTGTGTGAGAGAGAGAGAGAGAGAGAGAGAGAGAGAGAGAGAGAGACAGAGACAGAGACAGAGACAGAGACAGAGACAGACGGAGACAGACAGACAGAGACAGAAACAGAGAGACAGAGAGAGAAACAGAGAAACAAGAGGG